ACTTCTATTACTAACATGAATAGTCATAATCTATACTATCAAAGAAATGTGTGAGGAGTATTGTGCCGGGGAGGGGGGGAAATCTAAATAGGCCAACTAAAAAGTTCAAGAGAAACTTCAAAAGGAAGGAAATAACTTTATAAGAGCATCTTTATGGTCAGGCATTAGAGACTCTCTGTGAAATCAAAGGTAATAGCACTAATTTCAATATCTAACAACCTTACTCCCTTACATGGTGTAGAATAGTTAAGATTAAATGAAGTGGTATAACAAACAAAAAACAGTGCAATTATAAATTCCAACTTTTACACAGAGTCATCAACTAAAGGGCCTGGAATGCAATCCAGATTTTTCACTTAAATCTCTGTGGAAATAACTCATAGCCTAATTTTAAATTTCATTATAGTCCAGAAGGCCTATAGGTCAATGCAGCTGAATTAAAAAAAAAAAAAAAACAAGACCCACAAACAAAATAATTCTGATGAGATTGAGTTTGAAAACAGTACGATTTTAATGATTAAATACCAAGCATCTGAAATATTTAAATAGAATTCAGAAATAATTTCAGACTAGAATATTCTTTTTTATGTTTTACAAAAGAATATTCTTTGTCTTTACATAGAGATTTAAGTAATGCACAGGAGATTGCAGAAACTGGCTTGTAGAATACAATGCAATCAGCTATTCAATGACATTAAAGCTCAGAGGAAGAAGAAGAAAAGGACAAATGTTTAAGATATTTGAAATATAATGAGTTTGTTTTATGCTGAACAGTTCAAATAGAATAATAATGAAGGAAAAGATTGAACAACTTAAAAGAATCAGCATATTAAAGAACTTTGTATCTCACAATAAGTTTATACTTAAAGCATAATCATTATATATTTTAAGAAACAGCCTTAATGGGATGATGGATACAAAAATTGGAGTAAAAAATGACTAGAAATGTATTCAACTAACCTCTGCCCAAAGTGCTCCTCTTCTTTAAACTCAAATTTGTTTTATAATGATTATATCTTCTTATAGATTTTATTTTGTCTACTGTTGTTGTGGCTAGATGCCATCAAGTTGAGAACGACTCATAGTGACTCTGTGAACAAAAAATCCAAACCCTGTCCTATCTTGTGCCATCTTAACAATCTCTGACATACTTGAGCCCATTGCCACAGTCACGGGGACAATCCATCTGATCAAGGGTCTTCCTCTCTTTTGTCATCTCTTTATCTTCCCAAGTATGATCCCCTTCTCCCATGAACAGCCTCCTTTAGCAACATGCTTAAAGTATGTGAAGCAAAGTTGAATTTTCTTTACCTCCAAGGAGCACTCTGGCTGCACTCTAAAACATACTTGTTTGTTACTTTAGCAGTCTATGGGATATCTAATAACATAATTCAAAGGCCTCAATTCTTCTGTCATCGTTATTCACTGTCTTTCTTAGCAGCATAAGCAAGTGATTGGTGAGACACCTGAATAAGGCGTACCTTGGTCCCAAACTAACATCACCCTCAATAATTAGGAGAGGTTTCTGATTTCAGACTCTTCCAATGCAATGCGTCTCCTGATCTCCTGACTGCTAATACCAAGAATACTGATTGTGGATCCAAGTAAAATGAAGTTGTTGACAGTTTCAATTTCTTCTTCATCTATCATCATGTTGTCTATAGGGCCAGTGTTGGGAATATTTGCTTTCCTGATGTTGAGATGTAATCCATATTGAGGGCTACAGTCTTTGATTTTCTATAACAACTGCTTTAAGTCCTCTTCACTTTCTGAAAGCAAGGTTGTGTCCCTTGCATAATGACAGTTATTTATGAGTCTTCCTCTAACCCTGATGCCACACTTTACTTCATGGAATCCAGCTTCTCAAATAATTTGCTTAGCATACAAATTGAATAAGCATGGAGAAAGGATACAACCATTACACACACTTCTTTAAACTTCTTTAAGGATACAACCATTACACACACTTCTTTAAACTTCTTTAAAACATGCAGTGTTCCCTTGCTATTTTCTTACAGCAGCCTCTTAGTCTAGGTATAGGTTTCACATGAGTACAATTAAGTGTTCTGGCTTCCCATTTTTCTCAATGTTAGCCAACATATGTTATGATCCACAGAGTCAAATGTCTTTGCATAGTCAATAAAGCACAAAGAGACATTATTCTGGTATTCTATACTTTCAGCCAGGATGCATCTTATATAAAGAATGATACCCCTGTCACCACAGCCTCTTCTAAATGTAGCTTGAATCTAGCAGTTCTCTATGTACTGTACCAGGTTTTTTAAATTATCTTTAGTAATATTTTCTTTGCATGTGATAGTAATGATATTGTTTGATAATTTCCACATCCTGTTGTATTACCTTTCTTGGTAATGGGAACAAACATGGATCTCTTCCAGTCAGTCAGCCAGATAACTGACCTTCGGATTTCCTATCATAGACTGTATCTGTCATTTGAAACATGTCAATTGGTATCTCTTCAATTCCTGGGGCCTTATTTTTTGCCAATGCCTTCAGTACAGCTTCAACTTCTTCCTTCATTACCATTGGCTCTTGATTCTATGGTACTTCCTGAAAAAGTTCAGTGATGGTCAATTAATTTTAGTACAATGATTCTATGTATTCCCTCCATCAACTTTTGATGCTTCCTGTATCATTCAAGATTTTGCCATAGCATTTCTAAGTACTACAACTTAAGGATTAAATTTATTTTTCTGTTCTTTTCTCTTGAGAAAAACCAAGCAAGTTCTTCACTTTTGATTCTCTAATTCTAGGTGTTTGCACATTCCATTAGTACACTTTGCTTTGCTGTCCTCTGAAATCATCTTTTCAGTTCTTTTCCTTCAACATCTCTTGCCTTAGTTTTGTCTTCTTGATGCTCTAGTGCAATTTTCAAGGTCTCTTCTGACATCCTTTTTGGTTTTTCTTTAAACTCTGTCTTTGTAGTGACTTTTGTACTCTTCATGGATGATATTCTTGATTTCATCCCACAACTCATCTGGTGTTTAATCATTAGCATTTAAAGCTTTAAATCTACTCTGAAGATAATTTTTACATTTAGGTGCAATAGACTTAAGATCCTATTTTTGTTCTTCTGTAGTTCTTTTGAGATTTTTCAGCCTCAATTTGAGCCTGCACATGAGTAACTGTGTAACAATAACCTGTTCCACAGCTTATTGATTAGAACATGAACACTGGGGACAGGTAACTTGATTACACAATCAGTTATACTAGTTATTTTCTAAGAAACTTGTCTGTTCCTCAATTTCCTTAAATACAAGATGGAGAAAATAAAGAACTCTACTTCAAAGTGCTGGTATGAGGGTTAAATTATTTAATACACATAAAGTACTTAAAACTATGCCTGGGACACAAGTAGTAGGATAACTATGGTATTACCATTTTTAATGTTTTGGGGGGCAAGTTCAGCACCAAATTCACATGTTATCTCCAAATGTGTCTGACACAGTTGTTATTTGGTGTCATCAAGTATGACTCACAGTGACTCTATGACCTATAGATCTGAACTTTATTCTCATCATCTCTGATGTACTTGAGCCCACTGCTGCAGTCACTGTGTCACTTCATCTCATTGAGGGATCTTCTCTTCATTGACCCTCCACCTTTCCAAGCATGATATCTCTTTTGGAGGAATAACTTCTCCTACCAAAATATTCAAAGTATGAGAGACAAAGTTTTACCATCCTTGTCTCTAAAGAACATTTTTCACTTTCCCAGAGACATATATGTTTGTTCTTTTGGCAGTCCTTGGGATATTCAGTACCTTCTAACATTATAACTCAAAGTCATCAATTTTCCTTCTGACATTATTTTTTCATTGTCCAGCTCTCACATGTATAGCAAGTGATTGAAAAGACTATGGCCTGAACCAGGTGCATCACAGCTCCTCAGTATTTTGAAGAGATTGTTGACAACAGGTTTACCCAAGGCAATATGTCTCCTCATCTCCTGTCTGTTGCTAACAAAAGTGTTGTTGATCCAAGTAAGATGAAATCATTGACAATTTAAATCTTTCCTCCATCTATCATGCTGTTGCCTATTGACCCGGTGGTGAGGGCCTTTGTTTTCTTATTTGTTAAACGAATTAAATTGGTCTAAAATAGCTGTATGATGAATGTGACCAAAAAAAGAAATTCATCAATCCAGAGTAGCTATACTGTGAATGTGACAGAAAAAATTAACAGGATTTGGTAGATGATTGGATAAAGACAGAGCAGAAAGAAGGAAGGTGTAGATGTCGCTGAGATATAGAATTTGTGGGTGGAAGATTAAGACTCAAGAAGCCAGTATACAGCAAGGTTCATATCTGTTGTTTATAGAGTTGCTATAAGGCATACTTGACTTAACAGTACCTAAAAATAATAAAAGCAGAAATGGAATGTTTGCTTTGATATTTGAGACTAAAATTACAACATAACAAAAACCATTTTAATAGGACTAGAATTCTGGCTAGAAGCAGGAGGATAATCATACTTTTTCAAGTCAGCTTCATAAAGACAACAACAGTAAAATATCCTTAAAGATGGTGGTTTTTAAGTAAGAATTTTGATTAATTAAGACTACCTTCTCTCTAGTGAATTAAAACTAGTTTACGTGTTGTATTCATATTCGTCATCTCATCTAACTTAGGTCAATTACTATAAATTATAGTTAAATATTAAATTACATGCAGTAAATTATATATGTTTTAATAGATCACTAATAAAAGGATACGGAGGAAATAACCACTAAGGCAGTAGGGATTAGGGGACAGATGTTGGAGACTGATGGAATAGGCAATGGGGGATTAATGAGATGAGGCAATAAAAATAGACAATAATTATATAAAACACAATGTATATGAATGATGTCATACAATACAATGCACATTAATTTAAAAAGTACAGAAGATCATTAAGAAATTCAGCCATTGTAATTGGACTTTTCTATAAATAGTAAAATTCTTAAATGTTAATTATAAAAGATGAATTAGAACTTACCCTGAATCACAAAAACAGTTCCATAGTCCTTGGCCATGACTCCATAGTAAATGATTAAAAACTCTATTGAAAATCCGATATAAATGTAATTCATCAACATCAGTTACCCTCCAGATACGAGGAAGAACTGTTCTAACACTTGTTCTTACTATATCCAAAACCTAATGAAAAAAAAAAATAAAGTACTTAAAAAACTATATATGTATGTATATCTAAAGAGCTATATATGTATGTATATCTAAAATTCAAGGATGTATCAAGAGATATGACTATAAATATATACAGACACATAAATATATAGTCATTAAATAAAGGTAATCAATAGATTTTTTAAAAACTTTGGTATACAAAAGAAGTAGTGAATCAAACCTTTGAAATAAGAAAGGATTGCTCAATAAATGGAGATTAGAAATGATAATTAAGGAAAAAATAAAGTTGATTCATTTCTTCATTCAACTAACAGAAATCAGCTCTAGAATAAATAACATCCTAAGTGTCAGAAATGAAGCATAAAAAAATCTTTGTGTTAAATTTTAGTTAATATCCCTTAGACTAGTCAGAAAAAAAATATATAAATTATATAAATGAGCACCATAGGAATATATTTTATTATTATAAAATTAATTTTTTTCTTTTAAATATTAATTAAAATAACCAGTCAATAGTAAGTCTAACAAAAAGAGAAATATAAATATGAAGAAATTAAATGGGTGAGATCATGACATAATTAATTTACATAAAAAGGATAAAATAATATACTATGAAGAATTACACTCAAACAAATTTGAAAATCTAGATGTTGTTTTTGTTGTTGTTAGTTGCTATCAAGTTATCTCTGACTCTTAGTGACCTTATGAACAACAGATCTCAACCCTGTCCTATACCACGTACTAGGCCCATCACCTCTGATATGCATAAGCCCATTGTTACAGTCACTGTGTCAAACCATCTTGTTCATAGTATTCTTTTCTTTGACCCTCCACCTTTCCCAGCATGATGCTTCTTTCCAAGGATTGGCCCTTTCTAACAGTTTATTCAAAGTAAGGGCAGAAGTTTCAACATCCTTGATTCTAAGGCATTCTCCAGTTGCACTTTATCCAAAACAGATATTTGTTCTTTCAATGGGCCATAGGGTATTCAATACTCTTCTCTAACACCATAACACAAAAGCACTGATTCTTTAATTCTTATTCATTGTCCTGTAGTAGTAGCTTATATGTTAAACATTAGAGAAGTCATTTAATATGTGAAAGTTAGAGAAGTCATTTTGTTCTTAAAGCCGTTTCAAGAAATGGATACCTCAATAATTTTGTGAATACTGTTTTATTAAGCTTTATGTTCTAGTACAAGTTGACTCAGCATGGTAACCACTCTCTCTATACCTGGTCCTGGGCCTGGACATCCATGAGAAATTAGTTAACAATAACAACTCCTGAATGTGAAGAAATCTCAACTGCCAACTGCAATGCACTTTGTGTAACCTATCACATGCCCAAACTCTGTATATAAACCTGATCTTTCCTCCCCCTCAGGGTCAGAATGATTTAAGCATTAGTTGACATTCTGACCTGGGCATTTAATAAAGGCTTTTGTTGATCTCTAACACTGGCTGTTTTTAAATCTCACATTATTCTGTCCTAACAGTCCAACTTTCAGATGCATAGCAAGTAATTGAAAAGACAATGGTTTGACTCAGGTACATCTTAATCTTTAAACTGACATTCTTGCTCTTTAAAACTATAGAGAGGTATTTGACAACTGATTTTCCCAGGGCAACATGCCTTTTCATTTCCTCCCCCCTACTGTATTTTATATGAGTCTGCATACAAAATTTGGATACATTGTGTATCATTCTACATTCTCTTTCACACATTCCTATATTCACATGTTTCAAATGATCACCCATGTACATTATGTTTATTTCTTGACTGCTGTTACACTGGATATTGACCGCAAATCTAAATAAAATGAAATCATTGACAACTTGAATCTTTCTTCCATCTCTCACAATGCTGTCTATTGGTCTAGTGGTGAGGATTTTGTTTTCTCAATGTTGAGACTAGTCCATACTGAAGGCTGCTGCCTTTGATAATCTGCAGTAAGTGCTTCAAATCCTCTTCTAGAGTACATGGAATTTTTAAAAAAAACAAGAAAACAGATTCATCCTGGAGAGGGTTAAACCGGCTGCTCCTCAGAGGAAAGGATTCTGAGGCTTCTTCTGACATATTTAGGACATGTTGTAAGGAGGGATCAGTCCTTGGAGAGGTACATGATGCTTGAGAGGATGGAGGGACAGTGCAGGAGGGGAAGACCCTCTATGAGATGGATTGATTCAGTGACTGGTGTAATCAGGATGTGTGCATTGGAGACAATGTGATTGGCACAGGACAGAGCAGAGTTTAGGGCTGTTGTACACAGGGCTATGAGGCGCAAGTGACTCGACAGCATATAACAACACCTTGACATAAGCAATGATATCCTCTCATTCCATGGCCTCTTCTGAATCTAGCTTAAATTTCTGGAAGAAAAATATCATTGCTAACATTAATGGATCTTTGCTGAAAGTAGAGAGTACAAAAAAAAGATATTCACTTGTATTTTATTGACTATGTAAACGCATTTGACTGTGAAGATCATAACAAATTATGAGTAGCACTGAGAAGAATAGGAATTCAAGAGCCCTTAATTATTGTTACATAAAACCTACATATAAATCAAAGAGCAGTTGTCCAAACAAAACAAGGGAACACTACAGGGCTTAAATTCAGAAATTGTGTGCATTAGAGTTGTATCCTTTCTCCACACCAATTCAATGTGTGTGCTGAGTAAATAATTAAAGAAACTGGACTAGAAGAAAGAAAAATGTGTAATTAGTATTTGAAAAAGATTCATCAACTTGTGTTATGCGGATAATATTACCTTGCTTGTAGAAAGTGAAAAATTCTTGAATCACTTACTGAAATAGATCAAATAACATAGCCTCCAATATATCTCAACACCAAGAAAACAAAACATTCTCATCACCGGACCAATAGGCAACATCATGATGCTGTTGTTGTTAATGTGCTGTCAAGTCACTTGTGACTCATAGCGGCCCTATGTACAATAGCCCTGAACCCTGCTCTAATCTTTGCCAATCTTCTTGTCTCTGACACACTTATCCCCATTCCCCCAGTGACTGAATCAATCCATCTCATTGAGGGTCTTCCTCTCTGTACTATCCCTCCACCCTCTCAAGCATGATGTCCCTCTTCAAGGACTGATCCTTGCAACATGTCCAAAGTATGTCAGACAAAGCTTTAGCATCCTTGCCTCCAAGAAGCAACCTCGTTTCACCCTCTCCAGGAAAAACTTGTTTGTTCTCCTACCAGTCCATGGTATATTCAATACTCTTCTACAGCACCAAAGCTCAAAGGCATCAACTCTCCTTCTGCCATCCCTAGTCATTGTCCAGCTCTCTGATGCATAGCAAGTAATTGCAAAGACCATGGCCTGTATCAGGTGCACCTTAGTCTACAGACTGACATTGTTGCTTCTCAGTACCTTGGAGAGGTCTCTCTCTGACATCAGGATAGATGGAGAAAAAATTGGCATTATCAACAATTTCATTTTACTTGGAACCACATTCAGTGCCTCTGAAGGCAGAAATCAAAGTCTATGTTATATTAGAAAAATCGGCTATGAAGGACTTTTTTTAAAGTAATGAAGATAAAGAATGTTAGTTTAAAAAAACTAAAGAGCTCTTGATTGAAACCATGGTATTTCAAATTGCTTCATGTGCATCTGAAAGTTGGACAATGAATAAGGAAGAGCAAAGTAGAATTGATAACTTTAGAACTGTGGTATTAAAGAAGAGTATAGAATATTCCACAGATTCTCAAATCAACAAGCAAATCTGTTTCCCATGGACAGCCACAGCATCAAACAAAGCTGTTTAGGGAAAGTGAAACCATAGTCTTCTTTGAGACAAGGAGGGACAAGTCCTGCGAAATGTAGAGGCTCAATGAAAGAGAGTTGAATACACTACTAGATGAACTGGTACAGTGACTATAATGATGGGCTTGAACATGGCCAGTTTGTTAAAATGATCCTGATTATGGTTTAATTCATATTTGTTGTTCAAAGGGTCAGTAGAAGGTATAGTGGAACCTAATAACATCACAAAAAGAAGAAAATGAACAGGTTACTAATAAATGCCCAGCCAAAATAAGTCATGGACCAGACAGTCACATTAGTGAATTCTACCAAACATTCAAAGAATTTTTCTCAAACTAAATCCATCCTGTGGAGGAAGTATAGCAAAGCCAGGCAAAGACACAATGACTACAATAAAAGAATATTCCTCATGAACATATCTGTAAAAATTCATAACAAAGCTTAGACAATAGAATCCAACATCTATCCAAAAGTCGTACATGATTAAGTAGGATTCACACCAGGATTGGAAGATGGCTTACGGACAACCTGTGTTATGCAGATGACACAACTTTGCTTGCTGAAAGTGAAGAGAACTTGAAATGCTTGCTGCAAAAGATCAAGGACTACAGTCTTCAGTGTGGGTTGCATCTCAACATCAAGAAGACAAAACTCACCATGGGACCCATAAGCAACACCATGATAGATGAAGAAAAGATTGAAACTGTCAATGATTTCATCTAATGTGGAGGCACAATCAATGCCTTTGGTACCAGCAGGCAGGATATCAGGAGATGTACTGCATTTGGATATATTTCCAGTAGCAAAATGGATAGGATATATGAGATTTCTATGTTCAGCTTTTTGAGGAAACATCAAACTGCACTTAGAGTGTTTGTATGATTTTGAAATTCTATCAGTAGTGCATGAGAGTTCCAACCTCCCTGCATGCTCTTCAACATTTGTTGCTTGCTTTTCTGTTAAACTTTGCTACTGGGATGAAATGGTATGTTATTGTTGTTTTTATTTGCATATTTATGATTGCCAGTGATTTTGAATATATCTTCATGTATTTGTTGGTCATGTGAATTCTTCTTTATGAAGAGTCTTTTTATGTCTTTTGCCCTTTTTGTTATTGAGTCATTAATCTTTATTATGTAGAGGAACTATAAAACATCCTTTCTTTGTAAAAACACTCCACAAAACTATAATCAAAGAGAAATTGCTCAACAAAACTGAGAGGATA